ACATTGAACATGTGCTCTTTTATTAAATAAACTAAACGCTTTCATTTTAAGTTGTGAGTTTAGTGTTTTTGACCCTAAGAAACACTGATGCATTAATCAATAATCCACAGCTCCTCTCTCTGCTCCAGAGGATTTAAAAAATATATATCCCAATGCCACAAAAATGCATCAGTGACGTGGTTGAAATCTTGTCTCCAGTAAACAAAAAACTGAAACAAGCGGTATCAGTGACTGTGTGTTTGATGTGGCTCTTTGAAGTAACATAGAAAAAATGTGGCTCTTAACCTCTGACTGGTTGGCCACCCCTGGTCTAGACTTTAAACCACTTTATAATGTCAGATCACAAGAGTGCAGTAATTTGATAAGATGGTGAGACGTGTGTGAGTCTTAATATATACAGTCTATGGTGTGAGCGCGTCAAAGTTGCTGTCATTAGTTTATGTTACATGACACATGAATATTGACTCAGGGTCATGATGAAGCTCTGGTTCCTGCACTAAGTAGACAGCTATTAACAATAAATACATACTTTTATAAGGACCTACAAGTTTGTAAGTATTATTGCTATGACTAGCAAGGGCATCTTGTATTTTCTAATGGTTAGGGTTTATTTCGCAAACAGGTTGGTCAGGTTGCCTTTTTTCTACAAAAAATATGTTGTATGCATTATCAATTATATCTCAAATATTTAATTGCATCCATTCAACTTTTATTTTTCCATTAACAATTATGTTGATTGAACTATGTTTGTACCGATTACTGATCGGAAACCACCAGTGCTAATTTGTATGCCTCACTGTGTGGAATTAATTGGGGTTTTCTTATATAAAATAACACAAAGCAACTTTTGATACATATTTGATTGACATTCAGAGAGAAACTAGATTGTATATGGCTCAGTGTGCGATACCTGATCCCCTTAATCAATAATGTCAGCAATATTTATTTAATTATATATTAGATATTATACATCTATAACCATTTATAACTCCATAACTTTCCGTTAATGGAAATAATAAATAACCTTCACATGATGTCAGCACCTTAAAACATTTGAGTCAAAAAGTTAAAGAAAGACTTGGAGGAACCCCCTTTCTCCTGTCACCGTTGTCTTTATCTTCTTGTGTCCCGCTGATCAGCAATGTGATTGGCTGCTTCTGGTTTGCACTCGGCTAATTAGCGGAGGAAGTGGCACACTCCTGCCTTACTGCCGGACTCAATCACTGTAACCGAAAGGCGCCAATTAGTGCCGTTTGAACATGATTAGAGGAGCACTCGGCATGGACTGTTGCTGGGCAAAGACAGACAGACTGTGTGTGTGTGTGTGTGTGTGTGTGTGTGTGTGTGTGTGTGTGTGTGTGTGGTGTGTGTGTGTGTGTGTGTGTGTGTGTGTGTGTGTGTGTGTGTGTGTGTGTGTGTGTGTGTGTGTGTGTGTGTGTGTGTGTGTGTGTGTGTGTGTGTGTGTGTGTGTGTGTGTGTGTGTGTGTGTGTGTTCGTGCCCTGAACCTGCCTTTCCAGTTGTCCACCTGTGTGATGTAAGGTTGTTCGATTTTCAGGTCGATTCTGGAGCCAAATCTAGGTCTCTACTGCTGGGGCTATAATCGTGTGTGTGTGTGTGTGTGTGTGTGTGTGTGTGTGTGTGTGTGTGTGTGTGTGTGTGTGTGTGTGTGTGTGTGTGTGTGTGTGTGTGTGTGTGTGTGTGTGTGTGTGTGTGTGTGTGTGTGTGTGTGTGTGTGTGTGTGTGTGTGTGTGTGTGTGTGTGTGTGTGTGTGTGTGTGTGTGTGTGTGTGTGTGTGGTGTGTGTGTGTGTGTGTGTGTGTGTGTGTGTGTGTGTGTGTGTGTATGTGTGTGTGTGTGTGTGTGTGTGTGTGTGTGTGTGTGTGTGTGTGTGTGTGTGTGTGTGTGTGTGTGTGTGTGTGTGTGGTTCTGGCCCAGAGTGTTACCCTCCTAACCATTTTCTAATGATGTTAATGCTCATCAAACAGCGTATGGATTTCTGTCCGGTTGGATAGTCCGTGCTAATCACTGACATGGACTCCACGATCAATTCCGCTTCGGAGGAGTGAATTAACTTTAGAGCTGCCCTGCACATCAAACATTTAACCATTTGAGCACTAGCTTAGTCACACTCATATTTAAAGTCTGTTAAAAATGCACTCTTATTTATGTACATTGTAGACCATGTAGTACGTAGAACCACAGTTGAAACACCAAAGACAGCAAACAGATGCCCTGCAGAACTGTTATTAAGATTTTTAGTTTTTTGGGTCTTCTCCCCTTTAATTTTGCCCTCTTTTGATAGAACAGCCTTGGATAGAAAGTGAGTCAGAGGGGCATGCATCAAAAGCAGTGGCGAACCGTGTCTATCACAACTGGACCTTCTGTAGACACGCACACCCCCCGCAACAACTTCATCTTCACCTGTTGCACTTGTCATTTCAACGTTAAAAACAATAAAACGGCATGAATTGCTTCGTCGCATTCATCTAGATCCTCTGTCTCGAGCCAGTTAACTAGCGGGCCTTCTAGAATACCCTGGAACCGAGGGGAACTCTGAAAGAATACGCCCATTGGCTATAAATCAATATATGATTGGTTAATCAAACTGTCAGTCCAAACGTACGCTCTCATTCAGTGCAACGGCCAGGGCATTCTTTCAAGGATGTAGAATACCTTGGTTGAAGGATATTCTACCCAGAGACCCAGAACAAGATCTGATTGGTTGCTTTCTTTTCTAACACAAAACCACTGAAATGCGTAGTGCATGGTCCGAGGACAAACAAATCAACGTAACACTGTAATATTGCAGATCATCAACACAGATACGATTCTCATTTATTCATTTTATATACATTTTATTACATTTTATTTATATAATTAAATCGATTTTTTGTTTGTTTTATCTGAGTGTTCCAGGGTATTCTCTGAATACCTTGAAGGCCCTGACGGTTCGCCACTGATCAAAAGGCGAGAAAGTACAATTTAAACCGAGTCTACTGCAGTTAGGACTAAACCCTTATACAGGGTCGGCTCTAGAACAAATCAAATGGGGGGGCAATCATTTATCAAGGGGGGGCACACACTGCCGTCAACAACCAACACACAAACACCAACGCAACTTCAATTTAAAAAAACATGCTGTAAAGTCTATTGTCTTTCACACACATTGCAGGGGTGTAGTGCTATTTTCTAGCGCACCTATGACCTGTGCATGCACGGTTGTGGCACGACCACCAAAACAGAAACATATGGACATAGGCCACCATATAAAAAGTGTGCAAATGTATTTAGTATCCTATCCATGTGAACATGTTTTAGGTGGGGGTGGACCTAACCTCCTCTAGGAGGGTCTGGGGGCATGCTCCCCCGGGAAGATTATTTTTAAAATATTGAATCAATCAATCATCAATCTGGTGCACTTTGAGAGCAAAATGAAGAGATATGGATACATCTCTCAGCATCCATATGAAACAGAACTGTACACAGATTTACTTTTTCTTTATGGATATTTTACTAATCACTCCCCTTTAAACTGTATTCTTGTGTTACTGTCCTATAGTATTTCATACCCGTTTTTCATTTATTCTCTTATTTTTTAATAACTATAATGATCATATAAATGTGTTCCTCGCAAATACTTGTTTACATAAATGGTGACCAAACCGTTTGAGACCCACTGAGATAACCTACACTAAAGTGAACTATCTAAACACTGAGAGTCCTTACCTCACTGAGCTGAGGTTATACGATCCTCTCAGTCTGACAGGAGAGGACTCTCCTCCACCTTGGTGTAGAAACAGCTCTTTATATCCGTTAGCATAGCTAGCTAACCAGATGCTAACAACAACATTCCGTTACCACTCGCGCACTCACAAAATGCGATCGTGCCACACACACACAGAACCGAGCTTGAATGAAACAGAGACCCAGAAGTAGGCTACTTGTACTGTACTGTATATCATATTATTTTCGATGGCTTTGCTGTATAATCAGTATAACAGATGAACAGATTGCCACCGGGCTTTCATCTAAACACACAGCCACGTAATGATAACAAAACAAACGTCGGGGGTCATTGGTCAAGCAACACACCAATCAGAGAGCAGCAGTGAGCACACCTCAGGCTGTGTTTTATATTTGTATTCTTTATTTCTGATGTATTTCACACAAAAAACCTTTAGTGGAAACGTTTTCACTTATATGATTAAAAAAAAGAAGTGGCAAGGCTTGCCCACCCTGCGTTGGGGGGGCACAGTGACTCATTTGGGGGGACATGGCCCACGAATGACCCCCCATGACGCCGACCCTGCCCTTATACAGGGGCCACCACTCTACATGGTCAGCGTCCTTCAAATATTTTTGACCAAACAACAAGGTACAGCTAGCTTTCTGTCCAGAATCTCTACTCCAAAGCCAAGGGAAAATATCCTTTTTCAACCATTTTTTATTTAATTTGTTTATTTAATCGTTTATTTGGCAGGGACAATGCACAGTAATGAACACTTAAAACATTAAAATGTATCAAGCGTAACAGTGCCAGATTTAGCTTTGAGCTAATTTCCATCCCCAGTCCCTCACATAAATCATTTAAGAAAATGACATTTTACAAACATAGCAAAAACAAAATACATGATATGCAAAAAATGCAAAAGAGCAAGAGCAGCATACAATCATCCAAGGATAAAACAATCTAACTCAAAAATATATGGTAGATGGTCAGGTTTTCATTTAATCTATCTACTCTCCATCCATCCATCCATCTTCTCCCGCTTATCCGTGGTCGGGTCGCGGGGGTAGCAGTTCCAGCAGAGAGCCCCAAACTTTCTTTTCCCTGGCGACATCAACCAGCTCTGACTGGGGGATCCCAAGGCGCTCCCAGGCCAGCGAAGAGATATAATCCCTCCACCTGGTCCTAGGTCTACCCCTTGGTCTCTTCCCAGCTGGACGTGCCTGGAACACCTCCCTAAGGAGGTGCCCAGGTGGCATCCTAACTAGGTGCCCGAACCACCTCAACTGGCTCCTTTCGACGCATCTACTCTGTAGATGAATAAAGACAGAAAGTGAATGTCTGTGCTCTGGGTTTTCAGAAGGTACACATCCAAAGAAGTAGACATTAACAAGGTACTTGATCTCACAAAAAACCATCCAGTGTTGTGGATTCCCTAAACAATTTTTCGGCAGATTCAATACAGTGGGTTAAGTCTTATTTATAGAACAGAAAACAGTGTGTTTTGGTCAACGGAGACAAATCCCCCTACCTTGTGAACCCTGTTGGGGTTCCACAAGGTTCCATTCTTGGACCATTACTGTTTTCTCTGTACATTAATGACTTGCCTAATGTATGTCCTGATTTGAATGTGCAAATGTATGCCGATGATGCGCTCATCTTTGTACATGGGAAAAACACTGAAATTATCTCATCCTGTCTCTCAAATGCTTTGGACAAGGTTCAACACTGGCTGAACAACATTTGCTTACAGTTAGATGCAAAAAAAACAGTATGCATGATGTTCAGTAAACGACCAGTCAAAATCGAAGGATCCAACGTGTTTTTAAACGGAGCAGAAATAGAACTAGTCCCCCAGTTCAAGTTTCTTGGAGTCATACTGGACTCGAACTTGACTTTTAAGAAACATATTAAGAAAGTATCCAATACCATTAAATTCAACTTGCAACATTTTAAACAAATTAGACCTTTCTTAACTGTCAATGCTGCAAAGTCATACCTCCACTGCATATTCTATCCCACATTGAATACTGTTTTACAAACTGGTCGTTTGCTTGTGCCACAAACCTGAAACCCATAGAACAGCTGTACAAGAGAGCTATCAAGGTGTTTGACAGAAAGCCAAATCCATACCACCACTGTACCATCTTTGAGAAACACAATTTCTTGAGTTTTGACAATTTTAAATCTTTTAAAAGTATGTGCCCCCCCCTTAGGGGAATTCATCCACAAAAAACACACTGGACGCTGCACCAGGTCAGAAACCAGAGGACACTGTGAAGTCCACCGCAGACGGACCACTTTTGGACAAAATGTCCTCTCCATTAAAGGCAGCTCATTGTGGAATAGCCTCCCAACTGAGATACGGGATTGTCCCACTCTCCATAGTTTTAAAGGTCAACTCAAAGAATGGTTGAGAAACAAACACACGTGTAATCACCGCTAAATGCACTTTTGTACAGGGGTATCTCCTCTTGCACTTTATGTAGCACTTTTATCTTATCTTGCACTTTATATATCATAGCTGCTACATTGTACTGCCATGTGGTAAATGCTTGTATGCTGCTCATGCTCTTTCTGCATATCATGTATTTATTTTTGCCATGTATATAAATGTCATGTTCTTATTATGTTGTATGTGACGGAACTACGGATGGAAATTAGCTCAAAGCTAAAATCCGGCTCATTTACACTTGTAAGCATTATTTTTGTTTTAAAGTGTTCATCAATGTGCACTTTCCCGGTTCAAATAAACGATTAAATGAAACTACTAAAGCATATAAAGAAATGATAAAACTAAAGCAAAGAGTTGCACAGCTACACTGGTTGCATGCATACTAAACTCACACGTATACTAAAACTTCTACAATGTTTAGTATGTGAAGATACTGTGAATATGGATCAGGGCGTTTAACGTTCAGCCTCCTCCTCTTTGCTTTCTTTCTTCTTTCTCTCGTGGCAGTAATCAACACAGATGTCTGCAGTTTTCAAAGGCAGGAGTCCTTCCTCTGCCTTTAGGTCAAAGGTCACACAGGAAAATAATAACACAGCAGCTGGCTTTACTTGGTGCAACCTTTTCCTCCCCTTGGCTATATTTAGAGGGACATGAGCTGCTCTGAGATCAGATGTTGATGTTGGACTCAGAGTGTGTGCTCTGTTTGGACAGCGATCCACAGGCCGGTCAGGTGCATGGAAAGAGCAACTGGCTCTCCATGGAGGTGTGTTTCACGCCACTGTGACTGTACTCAACACTGGAACTAGTTTTCTTAACGGATGTTTATTATGTCCTGATCTTTGCATGTCATTAAATGTTCACCATCCCTCTCTAAAGTACAACTGCAGCGATAAAACTGTAGGTGTTAAATCAAATGATATTAGAAATCTATCTGTTCCTGATCAGGATTGTCTAGAAGTTATCTATGACATCTTGAGGTCTTTATGTATGTAGGAATACTTTCTAGATGTCTGCTGTGGCTTACAGTTCCTCTCCATGTTGTTGCTGTTCTTTTTCCTTTATAGCGCTTTGGTACTGAGATTGCCTATATATAGTCTTTGTTTATCCAGGGATACACTCATACATTGTATTGCCACATATTCAACCACTTGCCTGCATGTTTTGTCCAGCCAATCAGCTGACACTAAAACATAGTGAGGCCAATGGTTGTCTTACTTCACTTTTTTGTTGTTGTTGTTGTTGTTAGAGATATTCAAGATGATTTATAGGGGGTGTTGTGTACTTGTCCATAGACGGTGTATAAGTAGCTGTCGGTTGGCACACCCCAAGTTTGGTGACACATAGGAGTTAGCACACCAAAACAACTATGTACTGAAGAGGGCAGCAGCAAAACTTATTTTCAACAATACATTTTCGTCAGACAGTCCACTCCTTTCCAAAGGGCAACTGAAGCCATGTTCTATGCTCTCTTTAAAGCCCCCAGACTTCATTGATAGAAAACATAATTGTACCTCGTAGAACAAGGATCTTCTGGACCAAGTCTGGTGTCTCTAAACAGAGTGTTGCTACAGTAACTGCCTCAGTTTCAAAAATGTTAAGATTTTTGGATTTTATAATAGCAATTTATTCAGCAAGAGGAAGAAATTCAGCACAAGGACGTTATGTGGAATTGAAAAAGGTTAAATGTACATCTCCTTCAATAAGAGGAATGTGATTAACTTTGAAAATGATATCATGGACACTGGACATGACTGTATGGTTTGATGAGGGCTGTCCTTATCCTCATCTCATTCTGTGTGCTGTCGTGACACACACACACATGCACACACACACACACACACACACACACGCGGACACACACACACACACACACACACACACACACACACACACACACACACACACACACACACAGTGTACAAACCACACACTGTGACAGTGGAAGGAAAGATCTGTTTGGCAGGGGGGTGCATGCGGGGGAAGCGTGTTGTTTTTCTGCTGCTTTCAGATCAAATGTACAATGGGTTTGAGGTGTAAAGCAAACAAACCCTCTTCACTCCCTTAGGTCTCTCATTCCCAAACACCCCCCCCCCACACACACACACACAGTTTTGTTTTACACACCCATTGCCCCCCAAAAAAGGATTATTTCTAATTGCTTCATTCTTACAGTTTGCTGTTTTTACTTATTTGTAATGGTGTTAAATCATCAGTACATTTGAGCCTGTTACTCTTACTATACACACACACACACACACACACACACACACACGCATACATTCACAACGTTTTCCCTGCTCTGTTTTCCTCCTCTACGCCTCACCTCTTGCCTCTTTCCTGGTGTGACGCTAAAGGCCCCTCAGCCAATTCCCACGCTACGAGGAAAGAAAACAGGAGGGAGCGTGTGTGTGTGTGGGTTGACCTTTGACACTGGTCCTGTGTTGTCCACCCTCAGATAGCATCTGGCCTTGATGCTTGTTTTCTGTATCACTATTACACGCATAACAGAAAGTTTGTCAAATCCCTCGGCCCTAGTTCCCATGAGCACAGCACGAACATGCGTGCATGCATAATAACTGGAAATGGTCATACGTTTCCCATCCTAAGGTTTTAACATTTTGTACAGTTAAGGATCAAATCCGCCTGGGATGAAAACTGTGCCTCTGAGCATGGTTTAACATCAAAGAGACTGTAACTCTAACCCCCTAACTCTGTGTGACAGCAATGCCGTTCACCAGCTAAAGAACAGTGACACTTTAAGGTTGACCTTCATGTATGTAGCTGTAAAAGTTCACTGTGTCTCACTGTTACATACATTTTAAGTTCAAGTGAAGATCAGACAGTTTTCTTTAACCAAAACATTGGTTAAAGAAATCTCTCAGCAGTAATAGTGATACAGTAGGGATTCAACTAATTATGTATTTAATAGCTTGTTTTGTCCACCAAACTGTCCACTACCCAAACATTATTTTTTGTTTACTTTCAGAATTCAGATATAAAGAAATGTGGCAAACTTCACAACTGCTAACCTGGAGATTGGGTCCCTTTTGCTTGTAAAATCCCTATACATCTTTTAAATAAATTATCAAAAAAATTGTCAAAACCTTTTGGAGTTATTGACCAACATTATTTGGCTTTAGGCTGCAGCCACACGGAGACGAAACGGGTCGTATCCGCTACAGTTCTCTATCTTATAGACGGTTCGGCCACACGAGGCCGACAGGGAAACGCAGATAACGATAACGGGTCCCAAGGTGGGTAGATCTGCGAACGCAACGCTCTGGGGGGCCAAACGGCTCCGTGCACATCCCTATACGATCATTTCCTGATAACGTTGACGCAATAGCCCCGCCTCTCCCCACCTCTGCTGCTACTGCTACTGACCATGCTACAGATGTTAGTGCAACATATACAGCTCCTCTACCACCACAACCATCAGCAACAAGTGAACATGGAGAACTACATGAACTTAGTGCTGGGGGGAAACGATTATTTTGAAAACGATTAATCGGGCGATTATTTGATCGATTAGTCGACTAATCTAACGATTATTTTTCTGTTGTTCAATTCATAAAAAACGTAATGTAAAAAAAACGTAATGTAAAAAAATATTTTTTCACGATACTGTGTCTCAGGGGATCTTCATATTTAAGAACCTATTAATGTGTTATACCAGATTAACGGAAATAATCTCAGCTAACTGACGATACAAACCATGTTTACCAAAACAAAACACAAGTCTCATAAGAAGCATCTAAATTACCCCTGAGCGAAAAATGCTAACGGACATTGGCACAGAACTCAAGATAAAAGTACCCTTATTACTTATCGTAGCTGCACATACAATATATCCGA